ATATCGCTTGTTCCTGCATCCAGGGCAACTCCACGTGGTGACGGTGGGCAACAGTGCCGTTGGCAGAGACCATGAGTTAAAGGCGGGTATGCTGTCATGGAGAACATAAACGCAACACAATACATATGATATAGACTTGATCTAGTACCAAAAAATTACTCAGTTTCATAACTACAATTTTGCACTTCTTAGGGATTTATGGCAGTTTTGCCAATTTTTTACAATTTACTGGAAACTTCGAGGGTCTACCAACTAAATCAGCTTCAGATTTGTGTTCAGCATATTGAAATATCACATGGTTCAATAAGTCCTGGGACTAACCATAAAAACAGTATTTATTTCGCAAAATTCATTTTTATTCATTAACATAATCGCCATCAAGTGCAATGCAATCATTCCAACTCTTCTCGATACCATGCTTGAAGAAAGATTTGTCCTTGGTGTCAAAAAAAGCTTCAGTTTCAGCTTTAACTTCCTAGTTAGAGCCAAATCTTTTTCCCTGGAGCATCTTTTTGGGATCAGCAAAGAGCCAGTAGTCGCTGGGGGCTAGATCGGGAGAGTACGCGGATGGGGAAGCAGACTGAAGCCAAACTAGTTCAATTTGGCCATTGCTTTTATTGACTTGTGACACGGTCCTGATGAAGATGATTTTTTTTCTTCGTGTGCGGTCGTTTTTCTGCGATTACGTCCTTTGAACGCATCAGTAACTCAATGTAATAATCGCTGTTGATACTTTTTCCTTTTTTAAGGTAGTCTATGTAAATTATACCTTGTGCGTCCCAATAAACTGACGCCATGACTTTGCCAGCTGACTGCCGATTTGATTCCGGAGTAAAATGGTGGATCCATGTTTCGTCTACTGTCACATACCGATGCAAGAAATCCTGTTGATTCCGGGTGAACAGTGACAAACGGCTCTCTGAGTTGTCAACTTGTTGTTGCTTTTGTTCCATTGTGAGAAAACGCGGCACCCATTTCGAAAAGACATTTTTCATACTCAACTTTTCGTGTAAGATGGTAAATGCACTTCCCGTTGATATGTCTACTATCTCAGTAATCACACGAACTTTCAGTTTGCGGTCATTCATCACGATTTTTAAAACCTGCTTAACATTTTCCGAAACTACTGCTTTATTTGGACTACCCGAGCGTTCCGCATCTTTTGTATCAGAGCGACCGCATTTAGAATCAGCATACCACCGGCAAATCGTTGTTTTCGATGGAGCAGAGCTCGGATAACATTTTTCAAGCCATTGCTGAGCTTGCACGGTATTCTGTCACATTAAATAATAATGTTTTATCAACACACGAAATTCGTGTTTGTACATTTTGGAAACAAATGCAAAAGTAACCTCACGTGAAGGTTAGCTTTTTCGACCAATGAAGTTGACTTATCATTATTACTATCGCCATCTGCTTTGCTGCCTGGAAAAAGGATTTCCTTGTCAAAGAAAAATGGTCCGCATAGCTAGTTAATGACAGTTTTCAACGAAATCACAGTAACACGCTTGATTAATGTATTCAACCTGAAGACATCCTACTTACGGCTATATTTTCGAGACAAAAAAATTATCCGAGATAAAATAAGATACCGTAGCATCATACAACAGAATTTGTCTCAGCTGTTTGTATAGTTACTATGCAGAGTGTTCATAGAATAGATGGAGATATTTTAGAGGTTGATTCCTTGTTAAAAAATATGGAAAAACATGGGTTTGGAGATGCAGGGTTTTCAAGATACTGGGTGATACATTTAAAAAAAGTTATTATCATCTTAAAAAATATTCACTTGATTCTGTTGAAATTTGGTAACATTATTTGTTGTATTAAGAGGCTAATTCAGCACCAAATAGATTGGATGTATCAGGTTCAGTGGCGTCCCGGAACACCTTAGCGAATATTATTGGCAAAAATAATTTACACCACTCCCTCTTTTGCAACTTTAATAACTGTTGCTTGATCAAGCATCTGAAAATACAACTTCTTTGTCTCCTGTATTTTTTCGAATCTCACTTCGCTTTCGAGAAAAAAAAAATAAAAACCGTTTTATTGCATGTCACTGGACCAAATGGTTTATTAATTTTTGCTAATAGGAAAACAAAAAAACAATTCTGCATGGAGGTTTGACATTTGGGCGTCAGTTCTTCTAGGCAAAAAGTATTCACGTAATCTTCTTTGCGAAATTTCTCTAAAAAGTCTTTGTCTCGGTTTTTGTGATTGTGTGTGATGAAGATTACACTTTTGAGGAAATGACAGACATGCATGTACTGTATTAATGTACCTATTAAACAATAAATATTAAAGTTACAAAAAAGGCAGTGGCGAACATTTTTTGTCAACATTATTCGCTTAGGTGCCCCCGGGACGCCACTGGACCTAATGATTTTAATCTATTCAGGGCATAATTAACCTTAATATTACAAATAATATTGCCACATTTGTCTATTTTTCGAACTGCCTGTATATTTGGAAAACGTTATCTCATAGATGGCATAGAAACATATAGGTGGCTACCGCGCCATCTATGTGACATTAACCTTTTCAAAGTACGAGGGCGGTTCAATAAGTACCCGTGTTAGAAATGAAGACACCATGTTTTCCATAAAATTTCTTTTTATTTTTCAACATAATCCCCTTTTAGATAGATGCACTTTTCCCAACGTTCCTGTCGCCCACGTTTAAATTCGTTTTACCAATATCTAACTGTGGTGTGGCGAAGTGTCCCCATAAACAGCACCCAACTTTGCTTTTATCTCCTCGCATTTTTTCCTATCCAAAAACAAAAAGTGAATTACCGAACGATACTGCTCTTTTTCCATCTTAGCGAAAATCACGAAACACGTGTTGCTCGAATGGCTGCCAAATCCCAACTAACCCATCAATTAGTCTTTGTAGATGGCAGCACACGATGATGACATTAACTTCCCTCAGGAACGTCCTCTGTCGTCAACTCGGGTACTTATTGAACCGCCCTCGTATGTACAGTAAATAGAAAAATTCTTAGAGATGACGCTTGAGTATCTCATTTTAAACAGGATAATTTTTCGAACATGGGAATATAGCATTAAGTTGATACAATTACCAATGGTGACAAATATGAAAGAGTTGGTCTACTCTATAATACGTCTTACTCATGCAACTGAAAATAATAGAACATTCTAAGGATAGTTGCCATCGTTTCCAGCGCTGTGTATTACAAGGCATTTAAAACATTTCAGCAACATCATTATCAGCGTCAATTAAGGATGTGTTTATTTACCTAGTTAATATAGAACTACATTTATATTATTTCCTAATAATCAGTATTTGTTATATAGCGCTGATGGTAATCTATTTCAAAACATACCGAAGCGTACTGATAGCTTGCGACAATCTCAGATTTTTCACTCATTATCAAGTAAGTTATGAAATAGTTAGTTGGTTAACAATGTTACAATTTTTATAAACATGCTGCACTATAATATGCTGTGAAAAAAGAACTAGCCCGGGGTAATTTTTAGAAATATCTCAACAGTTGTTAAAAGTGAAACCTACTTCATGTGAATCCGTATATCTTAAACTCCATTTACTTTTCTAGGTAAAAAAATCTTGTATTCGTTGTAAAGGTACTAGAACAGCAGTTCATATGACAACAACATAATGTATGCCTTATGACTTACATGTTAGTCACAGAAAATATTATTTGCGTATAAAGAACGCATAGTACTACTTGGCGGCTCGGGAGATACGTTATTTTTTATTTTGGAACACAATAGATTACTTACTTTTCAATATCGGGGCGGTAAGGAAACTGTGTCTCGTACTGTTGACCGCACCACATCGGCAAATGGGCAAGGGAAATTTACATGACAAAATTATATTTTAGCTTTTACTTCCGTATTGTAATCGCGAAAAAAATCGAAAATGAGATATTATGGTTTTGTATATTATACATCACGAAAGACTATCCAGTCTATCCAGGATTTTAAACAACAATTAAAAAGCATTCACAAGAGTTACACAACCACTGCTACCTTAAGAAGTTATTTCAGTTTCAATCTTCGTATTTTTTTAATCAGTTACTTTTCCGGTATTTTATAAACCATTTCTTTTTTTCTTTTCATGAGTGAATCGGCATCACTCTGTATTACATTGTATTGTCGATGTAGTCACCGTTCTTGACGGGTCAAGGTAAGACTACCAGTATTGCTTTATATATCTCCATCTCCCTTATACTCGTACATATACATGCAACCTACCCCTACGATCAATCGAGAAGACCGACAGCACGTGCTAAATTTATTAGAGAGAATGGAAATGGAAACAGCGAACCCCTGTTACCCACTTCATGCGTACTGGAGAGAGTAGCAGATGCGCTGAAGATTAACATCCGCCCATGGTACGGAGACCCGATCTGATTACTTATTTTATATGGCGTTGGCGACGTAATATAATTTACTTTTGGAACAGCAGGTGTTAAATCTCATCCAACGTGATGTACCATGTGTTTTGGCCAATAAAGGCGAATATTATTGTTGTTTTTATTATTATTAAAAACCATGTTACTTGTTTTTGTTGGTGTGTCTGACTGTTGATCTGTCTGTGACGAGTCTGTCCGAAAATCCTTGCACATAATACCTACCTTATAAAAGAAAGTTAAATGAGTGACTTTGAAGGTATGTTTGGTAGGCAGCCGAATAATCTTATATAGTTAGTACGGAGTACAACCACAGAGTGGCGCTGATGCAGGATTTTCCCGTCGTTTTTCTGACAGTCCATTGTTCAATGCGCTGATGCTGGATTTTCCCGTCGTTTTTTTTTTGACAGTCCAATGTTCAATGCTTTGACGTTGATGTATTCGAAATTTTGAATTAAAAGTTGAATTTTATACGGCGCCGAGGTTTTTATTAGTTTTGTGTCGGTGATACTGATATCTATTGACCGTTAAACTGAATTTAAACTTACAAACTTGATCTTTGTAATGGAGGCTTATCGAAAGCGAGGGTTTAAAAAGTGCGTGGTGCCTGGTACATACATTTCCAGAATATGATGTCGCTATTTCTAACAAACGGATCGAGCAAGTGCGAAATCCAGTTTTGGACAATACAAGTCACGAACAAATTTATAAAACACATTTGGTGTGTGACTTACGTTTTTCGGAAAGTGACAAAGTGCCTGGAACCAAGAGAGGTCTAAAAAGAGCTTCTCCTACATTACAGCTTCCTGAACTTCAATCTTCAAGTAAGTAGTAACTTTGATTACATATATAAACCAGGTGCGTGCACTGTGTAATCACTGAATAATCAGGACTGAACGATTTGAACATTTTGGTGCCCTAAAAACTTTCACAGTATTTAAGGTTTGCATAATTTTTTGAAAAATTTACCTAGCATAAACATAATGAAGGGATGGTTTCGGAAAATGTTCAGAGTAGTGCCGGAACTCATGAAGCGAGCAGAGAAATTGCTAATTGTGAATTTATATGGAACACCGGCAATACCGATTATTTTTAGATTACTAACAACTTGAATAACTGTTATTTTTAAGTATTGTATTAAAAAAATACACATTTTAAAAATAAATATCAGGTTGAGCCCTATTTTACTTAAAATATCTTGTATATAATTTGAATATTCAATTCAAATTTAGCTCCACAGTATAAGAGGACCAAAGATGACGCTAGGTATTCTATATTTTGGAAGAGTTCTACACGTAAAACTGTCCGTATAGTTTCTATGAAAAGTTCGGAGTATATCTCAAGGATGGCGCTACAAACCTTACTATTATGGATTCCCTTATAAAGTAGGTGTTATGTGAATCCTTTTTCCGTCTATATCTTGTAAAGTACTGCTTGGATAGGGATGATTTTTTACAAACTTATTTATAATATATATATATATATTTATAAATACCGGCGGCGGGCGTGCCGGTCCTCGTAAGTGTCTTGGTATGACTTGCGCTGTGCCGCGTCGTACGACCAGGTATCGGGGAGCGTCGACATTGCCGGATGAACAGCCAACCATGGGCAGCTGTTTCGTGTTTTTTTGTCAGCTCATCAGCGTGGTTTAGTCTTGCATTCAGATACAACGGACGAAAGCATATGAACTATCCTCTATGGAGGGTATAAGGTCTATGGCGTGTCTTATTTTGGTTGGGCTTAGCCTGTCCTGAACATCATCCTTTATGAACTAATCATGGCATTGCGTGAAAAGCTTAGAGTCAACCTACCTGACGCCATTTTTTCCGAAAAGCACAACACATGTTCAGTTTTAGGTGGATTTAATTATACGAGTCTCACTGATTTCGGTAATTATGAGCGTATTAATTAATAAATATCGTCTTCACAGAATGATGTAATTAAGGAAATTCTTGAATTAGTCATTGTGTGAAATCAACATGTCCAAGAAACTGATTAAATTAAACTATATTACGTTGCAAGATGTCATAATAGCTCTCAATTTTTTAATCATTATGGAACCATTGAAATCAAGATAAAATTCCAACAACTTTGCAACATCCTGAATTTACATCAGATGTGTGCTTCTGCTACTGACGAACTCATTACCAGAAACCAATAGGATCTAGTAACTGAAATTTTTTATAGCCATTTCAAATTTTAAATGTTTGATATCCATGCTTTGATAAACAAGACAAAGTCCAAAGATGTAGTGAGCAGTTCACTATAAAACTTGCCTGATGTTCTGTTATTTCCTTTCCTATCCAGAAGCAAGCTTGCTTTGCATTACTTATTACCCTGTATTCATTTTTGATACGCTTTTAGAAACTTGGCCTGTATGTATGTATGAATGTAACGGAATCTTTAAGCGTAATTTTCAATAATTTCCAGAAGTTTGATGAATTTGAAACTTTGCACACGTATAAAGGACACCGCACACTGCAGCCCAGTTGACAAAAACGACAAGCTGTCAAGATTAGGGATGTTTAGATCCACGAAAAGTATCGTTATGTATCGATTCTTATCGTTTTGAGAAGTATCGATACTCTAAAGTATTGGAATGAAATTATCGATATTCAGCGGAAGGAAACAAAGAAGAAAAGTAATCTGAAGTTAGTTTACTCTTTCTGACACAGTCCGTATCGAAAGATACTCGTAAAATGTGTCGATAAACCCAAGTGTCGTATATAAAAATATCGATCCAAAATATGGGGTATGGGAAGCAAAAGTATCGATACTTCTAAATATAGGATCGTATCGAACATCCCTACTGTCAAGATGTATAACCCAAGGTACCGACGGAGCTATATTGCGGCGTCATGGAAATAATTTTAAAGTTTCATTTGCATTTTTTCAAATGTTGTGCAACGATTTTGGGAAAAATTCCACGAATAGTATCATAAAGCATAGTAAAGTATATTTCAACAGTTGGCGGAGCGCACTCCACTGGGACCAGGGGGGTGAAACGGGATATTAATGCACAATCTGGCAACCATGTCGCACCCTCAAAAAATGGCCGCTGACAATCACACACGTCACCCTGTTGTCATTGAATAGCATGGAATTAAACCTTATTCAGTGTATATGTTTTGTGACTGGGACCAAGGGTTGACGGATCCCACACATGTGTCACCCGGGGAGTTTTGAAATGTAATAATCAGTTATTAAAATAATGTCTAATTATATAACCTAGACTATGTACTCGTTACAAAAGAAAAATATGGCAAATTTCTAGTTTTTTTGGAGGTTTTAGGTTTGCTGGTAGCTTTAAGACATATATTTGGGTATTTCTTAATCGCTGTAAATATAGTGTGGATGTTTGTTCAGTTCCTGAACAACGAAAAATATTCAACTTAAGGATGTATGGATATCAAAAAACCTGAATGATTTTGTGGGAATATCAATCTAAGATGCCATAATGGTTCTGATGAACGGCAAGTAAATGAATGAATGTTTGGAAACGAGCAATATCTATGAAATTTTTGGTAGAGTCTGCCATCAAGTAAGTTTTAATGGCTTTCTGCAAGAGGTTTATTGGAAAAAAAAAATACGGGAGGTGATGTTAAATCAGTAAAATCGCATATCAATTGAAGAAAATAATATAAACATGAATAAACAATCGACAATATAAAATAAAAACATGAATTTTATTCAAAAATCGAACACTTTGAAATTTTGACTGATCTATGTGTAATTTCTTATTACTCAATAAGCTGGTGATGTTTCAATGACAAGCAGTCATCTCATACTTTGACAGTATTTCGTTTTCAACATTTCATAGCTATTGGTTGCTAAAATTTGTTGATTGGAACGTAAAGCTCATTCGCTGTATTTGACGGACTGATACCCTTATAGGCGGAGATAACGGACTGTTAATTTGACAACCTTGGTGAAATCCACCCTTAAACGATTATTTATTTCTTAAATTTCTCTACCTGTATAGCTTATCAGAGAATATTAATACAAAGGCACACCTCATATATGATGAGTTACATAAGACGGACAACTTTCTTCGCAAACTGTGATCTCATTTTTGCTGATGGATAATATCTGCTAATTGATACACCCGGAGCAAATCAGTCGATAAACAAGATAATGAAGTTACTTGCGAATCATGTCCATTCAGGCGATGAGATATATGCGTGATCCGGTATTCGCTTTCACAGAACGGAATTGATAAAATTATAACGTATGCGTAGATTTTTTTATTTAACAAACCCAGTATACATTATATAAATGTGCGCAAAAAGGTGCGGTGGCAATACCTACACTACAATCAGATATAATCATGACGCCCGAATGCAAATGTGTGTTTTCTAGCGTGGTAAGAGGAAAAAAACAAGTGAGATTTGGCGAAATAAATTTAATTGCTGAGCAGATAACAATTGTCTACTTCATACTGTTTGGCGTGCGTGACACAAACACGGTAACTATACTAAGTGACATATAAATCCGAACACCCAGTTTAAATGGTTTTATTTTGATAAAAGTTGGTGAATGTATTTATTTTACTGTAAATAACAAGTGAAAAAATTTTCAGCCTTATCAGTTAGACATTCCGGTTTTTATACTGCTTTTTTTTAATTCACTAACGCTCTAAAAATGAATATTTCAGCCGCAGTAAAGAATCAACGTTGGCGGATTTTGGTTCTTGACATCCTTTACGATCGGTTACAATGCCTAGAGTACGAAGACCTGTACGATTTCGTCAACTTAGTGAGTTTGATAGGAGCCGTATAGTGGGACTTCGGGAAGCTGGGCTTTCTTTTCGGGCAATTGCAGTTAGAGTGCAAAGAAGTGTAGACACTGTGGTTAGGTGTTGTCAGGCATGGCTTCGAGAAGGCCGTACGCAAAGAGCAAGGGGCACTGGACGCCGCCGTAAAACAACAGACTGTGAAGATCGCCGCCTAAGGATTATTGGCCTTAAGGGACCGTTTCTCCACTACTAGGTCCATTGCAAATGAATGGTTTGCAGAACACGGAAGACCTATTGGCATGCGAAGTGTTTACCGACGAATGAGAAGTTTTGGCTTGTTTTCATACCGGCCACACTGGGTCCTCCCTTTAACTCGAGAACACCGACATAATCGCCTTGAGTGGTGCAGACAACGGTCACTCTGGGATCAGGAATGGAACAGTATTGTCTTTAGTGACGAGTCTCGATTTTGTTTAGGCATGCACGATGGTCGTGCCAGGGTTAGAAGACGACGTGGTGAAAGGAGGACTCCACAGTTTTTTGTTGAAAGACATGTTCATCACACTGTTGGAGTTATGGTTTGGGGTGCTATAGCTTATGGTTCCAGGTCACCTTTAATCTTCATCAGAGGTAACATGAACGTGCAGCGTTATATCCACGAAGTTCTAGAACCCCATCTTTTACCCTATCTTGACACCCTGGCAGATCCAACTTTCCAACAAGATAATGCCCGACCACATGTTGCAAGAGTCACAATAGACTTCTTTCAACATAATGATGTCACATTGTTACCATGGCCACCAAGATCTCCCGACTTATCCCCAATTGAGCACGTGTGGGATATGATGGGTAGGAGATTGCTCAATTTGCAACGTCCTCCTCAGACTCTAGAAGCACTTCGAGAGGAGTTGGTGGTTGCCTGGAATGAGATACCACAGGAGGACATTGACCACCTGATCAGAAGCATGCCTAGGCACGTTGGAGAATGCGTAGCACATGAGGGTACATCCACACATTATTAAAGGTCAAAGGGCTTTATAAAGCAGTGCAATCATTTTGAAATTTTTTATCATTTACTTATTATGCTTCATTAAGTACTTATACAAAATTTTATTAAAATAAAACCATTTAAACTGGGTGTTCGGATTTATATGTCACTTAGTATATTTATTTGAATATGTGATGTCTTCGTTAAGTGAGTTATGTATTCAATTATTTAGTTTGTACAGGGCAGATTTCCAAATTATACTAAAACTCCACAAAGGTTAAATTAGTTTTATTAGAAATATACTCACAAAAAAGGTTAATACCTACGTATGTTTATTAGAATCCAAGAATTTT